GGCCGCAAGAACCCTCCCGCCCAGCCTCCTGGACCTTCCTGGGGACCGGGTGTCCTTGGTCCCGGGCCCCTTGAGAACCTCTTCCCGACTTGAACCCGCGGGCCTGCCGGCGCCCGCGTCCCCCTATTCCCCTCCCCGACTTCCTCCCGTGTCTCTTTCCGGTCACCCACGTCTTCCGGCCCCTAAGTCCTGGAGGGTCGGGAGCCCGCTGGGCATCTAACGCAAGTCCTAGGCCCTCCACCAGGACAGCGGCAAAGCGGGACATGGTCGTCGCGCTGCATTCCGGGGAGACGGGGTGGGGTTGTACCCCCACAGCCCTCCCCTGACCCGGGCTGGCCCCCGCCTCAGTGCAGGGGCTCCCAGGGCCGGGTCAGCTCCAGTTCATGCACATGCTCCCCGCAGCCGCCTTCTCCATCCCCATCGGTCTCCCGTTCCACCGACAGGGGGCGCCCCGGTCTCTCACTGCGCACCCCTCTTTCAGAGCTGGGACTGCGGGAAGACAGGTGGTGTGGGGAGGCACTGCCGCCCCACAGATCCCAGACCCAGGCCAGCCCCCTCCCTGCTACCATGGCATCTCCTTCTGCATTATTTTTAAAAATATATATTTTATTGATATTTTACAGAGAGGAAAGGAGAGGGATAGAGAGTCAGAAACATCGATCAGCTGCCTCCTGCACACTCCCCACTGGGGATGTGCCCCCAACCAAGATGCATGCTCTTGACCGAAATCGAACCAGGGACCCTTCAGTCCGTAGGCCGATGCTCTATCCACTGAGCCAAACCGGTCAGGGCTCCTGCATTATTTATCCCAGGTCATGGGACCGCTGTCCAGCTGCCTGCATCAGAAGCTTATGCTTCACCAGGACCCCACATCTCCCTTCCACTGCCCCCATTTTCAGTGAGAGGAACCCGGCCGTTGTGCCTCTGGGATGCGTTCTCCCTCCAGGTTGCGTTCTGTCCGCACCTGCTGCAGCCCCCGTGGCGCTGCTGTGACAACCTGCGGAAGGTGCTTCTTGGGTCAGCACCGCTAGGGCCGGTTCCAAGTCAGCAATCAGAGTGGTCTTGCCTCGAGGACCAACCCGGAGCTGTGCCTGGTGTAGAGCAGGAAGTCGGCGAATGGATGGAATGTCTGTGAGGCGCCAGGCACATGGAGATGCGTTAACGCATCTCCCCCACAGCCAGCTTTGAGGATAGTGTCCTTAGGATTATATCACAATTTATAGCGCCCCATCTAAAGATGAAGGGAGCTCAAACTGCTTAAATCACGTGGCCAGGGCCTGGCAGCTAGGAGGAAAATTGAGCCGCGAGCACAGACATAGCTGCCAGGTGAGGGATTGTGCAGTTGAGGTGTTTGTCTAGGAGGAGGGCCAGAATTCGTTTGTGGTTTATTACAGCCTTCGAGGAACCATGACAGGAGTGTATGATGTAATTTTTATTACTTTTAATTCCAGGAGACTTTAGGTGCCAGTTACCTGCATTTTGTGCAATAGATGTACTTGCTGATTACATGAGAGCTTGGGTGCTCGTGTAGCTCGCCTTTCTTTCCACGGGCATTCACGGAGCCTTTTGCGAAGGCACCGATGCTAGGAGCTTTAGAGGCCCGGCCTCTGAGCTAACAGGGAAGATGGCATATGCACATGCCCAAGGACACCCCGAGGCTGCAGGTGGCAGGCACCGATGCTGGCATTGAAAAAGAAAAGGTCCTAAAAGGAATAGCAGTGCCCCAAAGGGAGTTTGGGCCCAAACAAAGACCCAGGGTAACCGTTCCAAGAGAACAAACCACTTCTGGTCACTTGCCAAGGAGAGGATTTGAAATACTCACTGGAGGCACTGAAGACCCTTGGATCGGCCCGGAGGGAAATAAGGAAGGAGTCAGCATTCTGGGGCAGAAGCCACACATCCCGGAAGTGCTGGATTCACTCTGGGTTCCAAACTTCTGGTTGCTGTGCAGTTTGGAAATGCGCATGTGGTTTGATTGTGACACCGCTCTCTCTTCCTCCACCTTCATTGAGAATCATTGCCTGAATCACCATTTTAGACTTCTGTGGGCATATTTGCAAGCGACGCTAATAACATTTGTTGTTAAACCCACAACAGATGTTATTTGTACTACTTGCCAGCGTGCTGTCTTATGTTTGCCACAGAAAAGGGAGTACACGGGTCCTCAATCCATGCGCCCTTAAAAAAAAGTTGCTTTTAGCCCTTATCGGTTTGGCTCAGCGGATAGAGCGTCGGCCTTCGGACTGAGGGGTCCTGGGTTCGATTCCGGTCGCGGGCATGTGCCTGGGTTGCGGGCACATCCCTAGTGGGGGGTGTGCAGGAGGCAGCTGATTGATGTTTCTCATCGATGTTTCTAACTCTCTATCCCTTTCCCTTCCTCTCTGTAAAAAAATCAATTAAAAAAAATATATAAAGTTGCTTTTCTCACAAGGTGTCATGGAGAAGCTCCAGCTGGGCCCCGAGATCCTGCAGAAGGAGAACCCCAGGCTCATCTATGCCAGGCTGAGCGGGTTTGGCCAGTCAGGAAGATTCGCCATGGCAGCAGGCCACGACATCAACTACTTGGCTCTGTCAGGTATGCTGGGAAACAGGATTGCTCTACACTTTCCATTTTCTTTCCAGGTAAGTTCTAAAGTCACACCGATTAATGAAAAGGCGTCTCTAAAGGTGAGCATTTAAATCAGTAAGGACAGTGTGGTGGTTTCCAAAGCGCTGGCTTGTCTGGGAACAGTCACTCTCAGCCCTTTCCTCTGTCTTCACACGTCTGATGGATAATATTCTCTCATTCTTACTGCGCACGTGGAGTCACTTCTCAGGCAGACCCCTGCCAGGGAGTCAGGGACCGGGTGGTGACAGGGATGGCTGCTCTGTCATTAGAAAATGCTGATGTGGTTCGATTCTGACACCCCTCTTCCTCCGCCTTCATGGAGAATCATTGCCTGAGTCACCATTTTAGATTTTTGTAGATACTGCTCAACTGTCGTTTTCAGGTCGTCATACCCCTTTATTAGAAATTTTACCTGTGAGAGCATGTCTGAGAATGGCCAGATTCTAGAATGTTAGGATTGTGGGTTGTTGAGTAAATTGTCTCAGAATCTGTGAGTATACATTTAAAGGTTGAAGAGAGAGTGAGTACAGAATTGGTTTTTCAAGTCTAATTAAGCCCTTTCTTTTTCTTGGGTTTGATTATTGCACCTTTTTCTAATAAGAATGGAAGTGCGTTATACTTTTGTGAAATCATAAACTAAATGGATAACAAATCTTTTTTTTTCTTCTGGAATCATTTTTCTCATCTTGCTCAATAAGTAAAAAACTTACAAATAAAATTTTGAAAATGTTCGGTGGAATAAAGTTTTGGAGAAGGAAAAAACACAAAAGGAGGAACCGGTTGGAGGGAGACCCTGTTAACTAGTAGGCTGAATAGGTTTAAAATTGGAAAAGTATCATGTCCTAGTTTCCACTTACGTCAGCGACTGGAGAGACTGTTACTCCTCCTTTATGTATTTATTTAAAAGGGACATTAACTTTATGGTTAATGCTCTCCGACTTTTTTGTAGGTGTCCTGTCCAGACTTGGCAGCAGCGGTGAGAACCCCTCTGCTCCCCTGAACCTGCTGGCGGACTTTGCTGGTGGCGGCCTCATGTGCGCCCTGGGCATCGTGATGGCTCTCTTCGAACGCACACGCTCCGGCAGAGGTCAGGTCATCGACGCCAGCATGGTGAGTGTTCGCTGGGGAAATGACAGCCCTGCCAGTTGCTCCTAAGTATGAAATATGGCGGCCTCACGTGTTTTTCTGAGCAAGACAAGAGATCAATGAGATCTGAAGATTGAATCCAAGTTACCAAGGACATCTTTAAAAAAAAAAAAGCCGCCTATCCTTTACATGAGTCAGAATGTCAGATCTTGATCATGTGCCTATGGCAGTGATGGCGAACCTATGACATGCGTGTCAGAGGTGACACGCGAACTCATTTTTTTGGTTGATTTTTCTTTGTTAAATGGCATTTAAATATATAAAATAGATATCAAAAATATAAATCTTTGTTTTACTATGGTTGCAAATATCAAAAAATTTCTATGTGTGACATGGCACCAGAGTTAAGTTAGGGTTTTTCAAAATGCTGACACGCCGAGCTCAAAAGGTTTACCATCACTGGTCTATGGAGTCCAACTGCATTTTATACAGTTTTCATGACTTACCTGATTCTTGTGTTTTATTAATTTTCCCCGAACTGTTTCTTGTGATTAGAATATAGTTTTCAAGAAACCCTCATTCAAAACAGGACCCAGGAAGTCTTCCCTAGCAGAGAAGATTCTTAAGGATGCAAAAGTCAAATGGAGCAGACAGGGCCTTCTGGTGGCCCTTTGTAGGGGAGACGTGGGCATCATAATGCTCCGGTTTTATACCGTCCTACCTTGGTCATGTGCCTGTGTGGTGGTAAGCGAGGCACTGTCTCATGTGATTTCTTCTACTGCAGTTGCATTTGGAACACGTTGTTATTTTAAAGAGCGGAAAACTGAAGCATGGAAATGTGCCCCAGGTCTCACAGCTGGTTGGTAAGAGCCCAATCAGTGCCACCACATGTTTGCATCTGGACCAGCCTTTAGAGGGAGGATGGGGGATGGACTTGGGGGAGATAAGGCTGGAGGCAAAAGGTTATTGCCAAGAGATGAGAGCAAGCATTAAGTAGTTAGTGGTAGAATGGGTCTGGATTGAAGGGATGTCTGAGATGTGAAATAGCTGGGATTTGGCAGTGCATTGGCAGTGAGGGGAGCAGGAGGAATCGAGGATGGCCCCTTATTTCTGGCATGGGTGACCTGGTGGATGGTGTCACTGGCACCCTGGGGGAGGATTACTGAAGGAAGAGGCGGTGTGGCGCAGTGGTCAGGAGCGCAGAATCTGATGGCTGACTTCCTCCATCCTGGTGCTGCCATTTCCTAGCTCTGTGATCTTGGGTGAGTGACTTCAGCGCCCAGTGCCTCAGCTCTTCGTAATAATGGTATCCACCACAGAGCAGTTCGAGAACTGAATGAGTAGCATGTGAACAGCGGCTGGCACTCTGTAAGAATTTGTTGTTGTTATTAAAAAAGGAAGGGAATTTGTTTTTGGTGACTTCAGGTTTGAAGTGCCTTGAGATACCCAGATGGCATATTGAAGTCAGAGAGTAGAAACAGGTTTCAGTCATTCGGGAGCACGCGGGGCTGATCTGCTAGGGACGGGGGCAGAGCAACAGCCAGTGCTAAGTGGGAGGACGGGAGGGAGTGTTGTCATGGAAACAAAGGAAAGAGAAAACTCCAAGAAAAAGGAATGGTCAGGGGCCATATTTGGTGGTAATCGCATGCGTTAAAACAGAAGAATCTCATCAATTGGATTTGTCATCGGGGACCTTGTGAAAGCTGTTTCCTACCAGGATCCCTCATCTCTGAAGCCTTTGCTGCACTTTCTTCTCCTCTCAGGCACATCACCGGCAGCTCTGTAACGGCTTCTGTGCCCTGTAATGCTGCCCTCGGGTGCAGCTCCCATGCCTTTGTGCCCATTGGTCTTGTCTCAGCTCCTCGCCCGGTCCTAGCAGGCACTAGGAGCAGCAGCAGTGCCAGGCTCACTGTCTATGAGGCAAGCACAAGACTGGGTGCTTTCCGGGTGTCTGCCCTCCTCAGATGCCCACAGCCCCCGGAGGAGGTGTGCGCATCTCATCTGGCATTGGAAGAGCATCAGACTTGGAGAGGATGACTGGGAAGAAGCAAAGGGTCAGAAGCAGCAGGCAGTTTGACACAGAAGCCCCTGCTTTCAGGTATTTCCCTCTGCTGCCCTCTACTGGTCCGTTTGGCCCAAAAGGACTGAACTAAGGGTAAACATGGGCCTTGGAAGTTTTTTTTTTAAAATATATTTTATTGATTTTTTTACAGAGAGGAAGGGAGAGGGATAGAGAGTTAGAAACATCGATAAGAGAGAGACATTGATCAGCTGCCTCCCGCACCCCCCCCCCCACTGGGCATATGCCTGCAACCAAGGCACATGCCCTTGACCGGACTCGAACCCGGGACCCTTCAGTCCCCAGACAAATGCTCTCTCCAGTGAGAAACATCAATGAGAGAGAATCACCGATCAGCTGCCTTCGCACCCCCCCCCACTGGGGACGCACCCGCAACCAAGACACATGCCCCTGACTGGAATCGAACCTGGACTCTTCAGTCCGCAGGCCGACTCTCCATCCACTGAGCCAAACCGGTCAGGGCAAGGGCCTTGGGAGTTTTAAGGAGAATTTTAGGCTAAGTACTTATTTCATAATAATTTAAATAATTTATTAATGACATTTAATTGCTTATTTAATAGTATGTAAATGTGTGTATATATATGTGTATGTGTGTGTGTGTATATATATATACATATATATATATAATTGTGTGTATCATTATATGTGTAATATCTAAGATATGTGTAACACAGATTCAAAAAATTGCACTGCCATAGGCTCCTTATACAAACTCCACTATTTGGTGATGTCAAATATCAGAGCCGTAAATTCAGGTGTACATGAGGCATCAGGTTAAAAAGGAAAACTGAGATGCATCCAAGTGATAGTTGGCATTTGTTTCACAGCTAGTAACTATGAGAAATTCCATGCTAACAGCTGGAATTGGCCCTTCTGTGGGTAGCTCAGCTCTCAGCTGGAATTGGCCCCTCTGTTGCCACCCTCAGCTCACAGCTGGAATTGGCCCCCCTGTTGGTACCCTGAGCTCTCAGCTGGAATTGGCCCCTCTATTGGCAACCTGAGAGGAGGACTCTTTGATGGCTTTCTTCTGGGCAGCTGGAAGCATCAGGGTTGTAAAAGCCACAAGGCTAGGGAAGTATCTTCTCTAAATAGTGCCATGCATGAAGCCTATGGTAGTCATAACTGAGCACGTGAACCCATTTCTTCTACTCCAGGACTCGGTGGGAAGTGGCATTCCTAAACTAGTTTGCCTGCACTCAGAAAACCCATATATGTGCCACCCACATTATTGTTAGCAGGCATACCTGGGAGATATTGCGGGTTTAGTTCCAGACCACTGCAATAAAGTGAATATTAAAATTGAGTCACACGAATTTTTGGTTTCCCAGTTCATATAAAAGATGTTTACACAATACTGTAATCTATTAAGTGTGCAATAGCATTATGTCTAAAAAAACAATGTATATACCTTAACTTTTAAAAAATATTTTTTTATTGATTTCAGAGAGGAAGGGAGAGGGAGAGAGAGATAGAAACATCAATGATGAGAGAGAATCAATGATTGGCTGCCTCCAGCATGCCCCCCACTGAGGATCGAGCCCACAACCCAGGCATGTGCCCTTGACTGGAATTGAACCCGGGACCCTCCAGTCTGCAGGCTGATGCTCTATCCACTGAGCCAAACCAGCTAGGGCCATGCCTTCACTTTTTAATTAAAAAATACTGTATTGCTAAAAATGCTAACCATCATCTAAGCTTGTTGGGAAAATGATAACAGTAGCTTTGCCCGATTCTAGGTTGCCACAAATCTTCAATTTATAAAAACTGCAATACCTAGAACATACAATGGAGTCAAGACAGTCTCTTAAATAAATGGTGCTGGGAAAATTGGACAGATACATCAAAAAAAAATGAAACTAGACCACCAACTTACACCATACATAAAAATAAACCCAAAATGGATAAAGGACTTAAACATAAGATGGGAAACCATAAAAATACTAGAGGAATCCATAGGCAGCAAAATCTCAGACATATCCCGAAGCAATTTCTTCACTGATACTGCTCCTAGGGAAATGGAAACTAAAGAGAAAATAAACAAATGGGACTACATCACA